ATCTAGAAGCAAAGCCAAAGCCACAGCATATCCACTCTGCTTTGTGTATTAAATTCACAATAAAGTCAAAGACAGATGGCTGAAAAGAAACCCTAATCGTCTTTGATATTATTAAATCTTCTAGTCTGAGGGCTCAGAGAGCCCAAGAAATTTTCTTTTAATCCCTGTGGGCTTTATATTCCACAGATGAAGTTATAGTGCTGGCCTGAAAAGCAATTTTGTAAAATCACTTACCAAAGGAAGGGGGGGATCATTATAGGCCTCCTTCAGAGGTTTGCAAGTAATAAGTATGCGCTACTCTCTTCCAGCCCAGAAGAGCTGCGTGGGCTTGATAAATAGCCACGTTTGGCCCAACTGTGGCTCTAAACAGATGTCTGTAAATATTGCAGAAAAGAACCCTCACAATGTTGGTGGGTGTTACTGACAAGTGGCTATGGATGCTTTTGTTGGCAAACAGGCAGCTGCTGTCTCCTCTCTGTAGATGAACTAGCCTGCTACAGCTACAGGGACTTAAACTTCCTTTGTTTTCCCAGTGACAGTCTTAACCAATATGGCTTCTTTTGGAGCAACGGTTCTCAACTCAGGGTGCTTTCTCCCTCTGCCCTGTGCCACCAAAGGGACCTCTGCCAATGTCTGGAAAGATAGAGGTCAGAGGGCCTCCCCAGTAGTGCAGTGGGTTGAGCGCAGTGCTGTGAAGCTTTCTGCAGCCTCTGCAGCACCGGTTTGATTCACAGCCAGTCAGGGAGATACCCACATGGCACAGCAGACCTCTCCTGTCTTGCCTGCTGCTCCCCTCAGCAGTGTACTTGGTCCTTCTGCCTGTTCTTCTCCCTGCTCTGTCTCTGGTGAATTCTCTCACCCTCCCATGCCTCTGGCCTGTACCCCAGTTCTTGTATAAATAAATAAATCTTTAAAAAAAAAGATAGAGGCCAGGGATGCTGCGAAACATCTTACAATGCATGAGGCAACCCACCTCGCCATCAAAGAATCACTCAGCCAAAATGTTAATCATGTCAAAGTCATATGAAAATAGTATCTTGTTTTAGTACAGCTCGTTCCCTCATTCATGCATCTGTTCATTCAACGGTTACTTATTGTTAAGCATGGAGAGCATCCAGCGAGTCCTATATCTGTGTGGTGTCGGGTCAGCTAGACCATGTAATCCATGTTTACTGAGCATCTACTGGGGTCTTGAACAGTGTTGTCAAGGTCCTTCCTCATTTGCTGTTTATATTCTAGTGGAAGGGAGATGAGGGCCTAAACAAGTTGACAAATGGACAAAATAATCTCAACCAGTGAGAAATACAATGGAGCATATTAAACAGGGCAATGCAGGGAAGAATCATGTGGGATTGGCAGTGGTAGTGGGGGATGTACTTTCAGGAGGGAAAGCCCCTCTTGTATAGGTCATAGTGAAGCTAAGACATGAATGAGGATAAGGAAGCAATTCTGTGAAAATCTGGATTAGAAATGTTCAAGCTTTAGGAAGCAAGAGATTCAAAAGCCCAAGACAGAAAAAGTTTGGGTGGATTCATGAGAAACACGTGCCATCGGAATGTGGCTGGATGAGGTGAGGTGGATGGAGTGAGTTGAAGAGATGGGCAGGGCTGTCCAGGCTGGGAAAGGAAGTTACACTGTATTTGGGTGCAGTAGGAAGCCCTGGAAAGACTTTAAGTGGGTGGACATGGTCTGGGTGAGGTGGTGGTAAGTCTGCAGGGAGAGACCTAAAAGGGCAGGACGAAAGTGCAACACCTGGCCAGAAGGGAGCTCAGCTTAGGCTATAATGCTGTGGTGGCTATGGAAGGAAGTGGTGACTTTGGGAAGCATCTGGAAGTCCCCAGACTTGCAGGCCTATGATCCATTCCTCAATCAACCACATCTGCCCTTGGTTTTCCAACCTCTAGTCAGCGTGGGTTCTGAGGACCTCTGCATCCTCAGTTGACTCCATTCCTTGAGCCAATCCTGGTTTGACATTGTATGTGCAGCCACTTTCCCCACACTGGCTCGCACATATCAGGCATGGCTGTTTAGAACTCTCCATTTAGACCTGAGCTCAGCTTAGAGGCCCCTTCCATTCCTCAGTTGAGTGGAGGTCTTCCTTGACTATAGACTGATGCAGTTGGAGCCTGGATCCCTGCTTAGCAATTCCTGCTTCCTCCCTGATGGTTAATGCCCTTGGAAATGCAATGGACACCTCTGGAACCTGACCCTTGAGCTGCCTCCCATGGAATTTAGAGTGTTATCCCGATTTCCATCTGGCCCCTGGCAACCTGTTCAGCCTCTCTTTTCTCCCTCCCTTTCTCACAGTAATCCAGGGATACTGGCCATATATTCATGCTTCAAATTCACCAAAACCTTTATTCCTTCTGCCTTTGCTTTTGAGAGTTGCTGTACATTGAAGGCTCTCCTTCCAGGTTTTTGCCTTGTTCATGTCACAGCTCAAATGACAATCTTTCTCTAAAGTCACCCAGCAGCATGTACTCTCAAGTGGGACTATACTACTCCCAAAGGGGGTGACCACTGACTCTTGGGGGGTAAAAACATCTTGCTCTTTTAATATATTAGCACAGATATACTTGAGAGAGAGAGAGACACAGAGAGAGACAGAGAGACAGAGATACGTAAGGTATGTTAATGGTATCAAAATTTCATTGGGGGAGTAATCAGGACAAAAAAATATCTAAAGGAGATCATAAGGAGGCAATGAAAAAGAAATAGAAAGAATTGTTCTATGAAAACTGCTTCACTCTCCACTACTTGCCGACACAGAACTTCATTTAAATCCTTCCAAGAAATTATTACTATTGGCAAACACCTCACTTATTTTTGTTCACTTCAGTATTTTCTGCCCCTTCATACCCCCTGAGCTCCAAGAACCCAGGGATCTTGGCCATCTGTCACTGCTGTACCCCAGCCTCTGCACAGCAGTCATAACTTAACACAATCTGCATAGTAGTCATAATGCACAATCACCACTATGACCAAGGAATGTTTTCAAATAATAAAACAAAGACCCACAGGGCAACTAGATCCCAATTGGATTTCATTCATTGCTTAAATGCCATCAAATTTGTTGGGTCCTTTTTGGGCACTGAGTTGAAGTCCTTTTCTCTGTCCCCATGGGCCTCTTACTTACTCTCTTAGCCCTGGTCTTGACTATCCCCACTTTCCTCCCTGACCACTGAGAACCTGCTGACTGTGCAGTCTAGTCCTTCTCTGTCCCACTGACATATCATACAAAGGCCATTTGGATGTCGGACTCATGAAATTAAAAAAAAAATTCAAGAAAAGTGTGATGAAAGGCATTTTGGAAATTAGGGCCTCCCTGGTGGCGCAAAGGGTTAAGACACAGCCTGTGAAGCTGTCTGCAGCCGCTGCAGTACGAGTTTGATCTGTGGCCAGCCAAAGAGCGACCCACATGGTGCAGCAGACCTCTCCTGTCTTGCCCGCTGCTCCCCTCAGCAGTGTACTTCAGTCAGTCTGCCTGTTATGTTCCCCACTCTGTCTCTGGTGAATCCTTTCACCCACTCCCACCTCACACCTCTGGCCTGTAACTCAGCTCTTGCATGCATAAATAAATAAACTTTAAAAAAATAAGGCATTTTGGAAATTAGCCTGCAAAAGAAAGGTATCATCTGATTTGTTTTATTGATAAATGGAATCACCGTAAGCATCTGCACTAGAAAAAAGACTAGAAGGAAGTGAACCAAAATGTTAGCAGTATTAGCCATCTCTGGAATGTGGGCTTGCAGTTTGTTTTCTCCTTATGCCTTTGGTTAATTTAGGAGTTTTCTATAATTGGCATGTATTCCTTTTATCATAAGGAACAGGATTTCTTCTGGTTGGATTTTTAAAAACCATTGACGAGACTGTAAGACTTATGTATACACACTCCTGCTGCATGGAGCCAGAACAGGCCCTCTTTGATTACATACTGACCCTTTAAAGCTTTGGAGGACTTCTATGCTTAGGAAATCCGTATAATTTTGGCCAACCTTGTCCATTAGACATATAGTACCACCTTTCATTCATGCCAGGAGGATACCCATATCCCAAGAACTCTGAGTCTGTAAGTTTTTTTTAAAGTTATTTGTTGACTCCCCAAAGCACAAAAAGGTACTTGTTTTGTAAGTCACTTACCCACACAAAAATTTAAAAAGCAAACAAACAGACAAATACTCCCCACATATTTGAAAATACTTCTCAGGGGTTTCAAGGCTCCCTAAAGTCAAGGTTATGAAAAAACTGACTTAGGAGGATTTCTTAGTGAGACACCCTTTGAAAACTGGCCCACATCTCTTAATTTCCTCCTCTCGAGAAGCTGCCATTAATGTCTTTCCAACTCACCCAGACCTCCCTGTCATGAGGGATTTTCTAGACCCTCTCTCTCCTGACTTATGTCATCTGAACCAACACCATCAGTCCCCACTTAAGTATCTTGACAGATCCCATCAGGGGTTCTTAACTTTTTCATGATCAAGGAATACTTTCAAACGCCAGAACTTGTGGCAGACCAGTTAAAAGGAATGCTCAGTTCAACCCTAACCAACAATTCATCAATAATTACAACACCCAGAGTGACATAGACAAAGTCTTGCAGGAGCTCCATGCACCAGCTATGCTAGCTATGGACCACTGGCTGCCCCTGACCTTGGCTTCTTAAACACCCACAAAGCCACAGTATAAATGACACCACAACAGTGTCTCTGGGCTCTTCTAACAAAGGTAAATTGTACCCATCCATTAAATCTGGTGGGCTACTAGGGAAGGATGCTTTGCACAAACAGTATGGTGAGGCATGTGGTTTGAGAACCACTCAGGAATATTAAGTATTTCTGTATGTAAAGCAAAATACTATAGGACAGAGGCTCTTAGGCCCTTCATTTAAAACAACAAACCTGGAGAAAAAAATCATTTAGGAAAAAGTTCTACCTGGCTGCGCAGACCTGTCTGGACTAAACAGAAGAGACTATGTGCAGAGGGGAAAACACTATTCTTACCTCTTCCAGGGCCCAGAGGGAGTCCACCACGGGTCTGATCTTCTTCTGGTTGTAGAGACCCAGGAGTCTGTCCACCACTCCTCGAATGAGGCCTGCGCGGCCCTGTTTGAAGAGCAGGTTCAAAAGGGAAAACCCCGCAATGACTTTGTTCTCTTCATACAGCTTGATGGGGTTCACTTTCTCCACCTGCCACCACTGTGAGGAGAGAAGAAGTAGGGATTACAGGACTCAGTGGCAGACTCGGTTCTCAGCATTACAGGGAGGGAATGAACTAGATGGCCATCAGGCAGATGCTGGGAGCATGAGTGGTTTCTTTTCATTTTTTTCCTTTATGGAGGTAACATTGGCCTACCACACTGTACAGGATTTAGGGGAATGGGCTCACACTTCCTCAGATGTAGGTCACCATGCTAACTCCATCATCCGGGCACTCACATTCCTTTTTTTTTTTTAATTATTATTTTTTTTAATTTACTTATTTATTTATACAAGCACTGGGTACAGTCAGAAGTGCGGGAGGGTGAGAGAATTCACCAGAGCCAGAGCGGGGAGCAGAGCAGGCAGAAGGACCGAAGTACACTGCTGAGGGGAGCAGCAAGCGGCAGGAGAGGTCTGCGCACCATGTGGGACCCTCCTCCGGTGGCCGGGGAGCAGCTGGGGATCGAACCGGCGCCGCAGAGGCTGCGGGCAGCTTCACAACCCAGCACTTAACCACCACACCACCGGGGAGGCCCTCACATTCCTTTACTAGAGACAATTATACACCTCCCTCCTTTTTCTCCATCCCACTAGTATCTTCCATCCCTCTCCTGCAGCCTCAATTGTGCAGTCATATTTTTAGGGTTTATTTTGGTTTAGCTTTTCCGTAAGAAGCATCATTAAAGCAAAAAGACACCCTATCAAATGGGAGAGAATATTTGCACACCGTATATCTGACAAGGGGCTAGAATCCAAGATCCACAAAATGTAAAAAATATACAAAATTTATAAAATAATAGTAATAATAAAATGAAAATAGAATAAAATAGAGCAATGCTTGAATTCTGAAATAAAAAAGTAGTTATACAATATAACAAATTAAAAACAACCCAATCAAAAAAGTGGGTAGAAGAACTAAATAGGCACTTTTCTAAAGAAGACATACAAATGGCCAACAGGCACATGAACAAAATGTTCAACATCATTCATTATCAAGGAAATGCAAATCAAAACCACAATGTGATACCACCTCACAGCTGTGAAAATAGTTCATATCAAAACAAAACAAAATAAAAAAAAACCCAAAACAAGTGTTGGTGAGGGTACGGAGAAAAAGGAACACTCACACACTGTTGGTGGGATTGTAGACTGTTCCAGCCCCCATGGAAAACAGTATGGAGGATATTAATATTAAAATACTATAAAGTAGATTTATAATATTAAAAAGTAGCTTTACCATACAATTCAGCAGTTTCACTCCTATCTACACAAATGATACAAAAACATTAACTCAAAGGCATTTTATGCACTTCTCTGCTAACTGCAGCACTATTTACAATAGTCAAGCTAGGAAACAATCTAAATGCATATTGACAGAGCAGTAGATTAAGAAGATGCAGCATATACATATAATGGAATACTACACAGCTGTGAAAAGGATGAACTCTCTTGCCATTTGTGACGACATGGATGGAACTGGAGGAAGGGGTGATGTTAGGTGAACTAAGCTAGAAGGAGAAAGACAAATACTTGATCATTTCACTTGTGTGAAATATAGAGAAAGCAAATAAAACCACAAGCCAGGTGGTATATTTTTTAAGCACTATTTTGGCTAGGTCATGCTGCCAATGCTTGGGAAAGGACAGACAGTGATGCTAAGGAGAATAGCTCAAGGTGCAGGCAGGGGAGCCCTAGATGCAAACCCTTTCTAGGCCACACGCAATTGGATCATGAAGGCACATGGTTAGGATCATCCACTCTGGGGTCCAATCCGGGCTCTTCAACTCACTCATTATTTCTATGCTTCATTTTTCTAAGCTACCTATAGCGGCAGGATACCACCTTTGAGGTTGACTGGAAGACATTAGTGTCAAGCACGGGGATTTGGATTCGTGTAAGGTGGTGATAGGGATGAGAGCACATGAAATTTACCCAGGTGGTAGGGAAATGGTGGGAGGGGGGAGGTGATGATTCTGCCTGCAGGAGAAGTATCCTAGGAGCAATAACAAGAAGGTTAGCACTGGAGAGGTATGTGGGAAAGCATTAGATACAGAAGCATAGGGGTAGGCATAATATAGAAGGAACAGCAGTTTTGGGACCAAATATAGTTCTTAACCAAGGGGGCAGTTTTATCCTCTAGGGGATATTTGGTAATGTCTGGGGACACTGTGTGCTTTGATGAGTGGAGGGAGCAGGTTAGGGCTGGCATCTAATGGGTAGAAGACAGGGGAGCAGCTCAACCTCCTATAATACACAGGACTGTCCCTCGTAACAAAGACAGTCAGCTCAAAACGCCAGTAGCGCTGAAGCAGAGAACCCTGAACAGAAGTGTGAGGCAGGGCACACAGCACTGGGGAACACAACTGTCTTTTCCAGGCCATCTTCAACCCAGATCAGACATGAAAACAAGCAGATAACCCACTAACCACAGGAACAACCAAACATTAACAAGAGAGTAACTGCTGTGTTAAAATTTGACTACGTTTTCTTTGATGCTGGTTAGGAGTTAGAAAATCAGCTTCTAGAGATATTTAAGAGGCAAAATATCAGTTTACTATATAAGGCAAAGAGGAATGCAATGACACTTTTGAACATTTTGTAATATTTTATGCTTGGGGTGTGTTTATTTATATCCTGCCTCTTTCCAGGATAAATGTGACAAGATAGATAAAAATTAGGAATAAGGTACATACACAAAATTCTTTGCTAAATACATTCCCTAAGGGTATAGGCAAGCTATGTGGCCACGGGCTGCTTGCAGCAAAATTAAAGTTAGAGAAATGCATAATAAGTCGTGTCCCCAGTGTGTCTACAATGTCCCAGTATGTGTTTATGAAATAAATGCCCACTGATCTGCAGTTTCGTGAATTCAGTGAGGTCTGGAGCCAAATGCCTGGTTTTAAAATCCAGTTCTGCTACTTACTAGCTGTGCAACTTTAGGCAAATCACTTCCCTCTCTGTGCTTTGCTTGCTTTATGAGCCTGTCACGAAGAGCAAATGTGCTCATACATACAAAGTACTTACAACAGTGTCTGCCCTGCAGAAGCTGCTCTATAAATATACACTATTGTCATTATCATCTTAAGTTAGAAAGGGACATTTTTGCTTTAACGAGTGAGAGCCCTGAATTTGGAGTCAGACTGCTCTCTAAAAGTTGACTTCACCAACATGTTATTAGCATCATTGTTATGGTGTGAAAGCATATGGCATGTCTAGCAAGCAAGTCAGCACAGGCTCGGTAGAATTTTTTTTTTTAAGATTTATTTATTGATTGATTGATTGCTTGATACATACAAGCACTGGGTACAGTCAGAAGTGCGGGAGGGTGAGAGAATTCACCAGAGCGGGGAGCAGAGCAGGCAGAAGGACTGAAGCACACTGCTGAGGGGAGCAGCGGGCAGTAGGAGAGGTCTGCATGCCATGTGGGACCCTCCTCTGGAGGCCAGGGAGCAGCCGGGGATCGAACTGGCACTGCAGAAGCTGCGGGCAGTTTTGCAATCCAGCGTTCAATCGCTGCGCCACCAGGGAGGCCCCTCGGTAGAATTTTTAAGGTAGAACATAACTAACTGAATGAGAAACTATGGATGATTCCAAATATGCTTAATTTGTAAGCATTCTTTAATGTAGAGAAGAAAATCCCTTTCTACAATCTTCCAGAACAAAGTCATTATTCCTTCCCTTAGTATGCTCTATCATTAATTTGCTTCAAACTGATCCACTAATATGGAACTGAAAGGAAACCATCTTCATTCTTGACCTTGAGCTGAGAACTAGTCTGGTAATTGGCACTCCTGTTTCAAGCAGGAGAATGTCAGCCTCTATCCTGGCTGTTTTTCTGAGTGTCCTCATTAAGCCTGGGCACAGTGCAATTATTTCATTAACACTGTGTACTGTGATTGTGTATTTCGGGGAGAAAGGGAAAACACTTCTTACAACTGTATGTAATTTGGGACCAACTTGGTTACCCACAGCAGGCTGGCAGTGTCGCACTCATTAAAGCCACAGCAACAAAACAGCTGTGAGTGGCACAAAGTCTGATTTCAAGGTACATGCTCCAGACTGCCCTCTTTTTTTTTTTTTTTTTATAGAGGCATGCTTTTATTTATTTGTTTGCTGGTTTGTTTGTTTGTTTTGTTTATACATGCACTGGGTACAGTCAGAAGCGCGGGAGGGTGAGAGAATTCACCAGAGCGGGGAGCAGAGCAGGCAGAAGGACCGAAGTACACTGCTGAGGGGAGCAGCGGGCGGCAGGAGAGGTCTGCGCGCCATGTGGGACCCTCCTCTGGTGGCCGGGGAGCAGCCGGGGATCGAACCGGCGCCGCAGAGGCCTCGCGCAGCTTCGCAACCCAGCGCTCAACCGCTGCGCCACCGGGGAGGCCCCAGACTGCCCTCTTCATTCCATTCCATTCTTGCTCCCTAATTGTTCTATAGTTACGATGATCCTTGACTTGAACTTTAAAATTCAAATGCAAGAGAAAAGCCTTTACATTCTGATCTCACAGGACAAGGCAAATTAATCAGTTTGAGAATCAGGAATGTTTGGAGTGACGTCTTTGGCAGCCAGAGTTGCACTTAGGGGGCAAGTGAATCCCTCCTAGTTCCACACTTAGAATGAATTCTAAACCCTTTACCATGCTTTCCCTGACTATACTCCACTCTATTCAAAATGCCTCCACCCCCTCCTGGGCTCACTCAGAACCTCATTTTTATCCCTTTTGGAGGTTGTATGACCATTGACAATTATGTTATTAATATGTTTAAGTTATTTCACTTTGTCTCTCCCATTAGAATGTAAGAGTCACCCACCCATTCATTGGAATACCCCATGCCTGGCACAGTGCCACCAATAGTAGATAATTACAAGATGCCAGCAGCACTGACTGGCGACATAGATGTCTGGGAGGAAGGAAGACAGAGCAAGCTTGTATGAGAAGAAGCAACACCCTGTTGTGTATGTGGGAAGGGGACATGGGGGTAAAATCAAAGTCTGAGCCCAAATTACTTTAATTCTAACAAGTGTAGATCTAGGAGGCAAGGCAGACCTGAGAGTTTCTGCAGTGGGATGAATGCCCAGGGATGTGGCTTCTCAACTGCAGGCAGAACAACCCCTGGTTATCTAAGCTAAAGGCTCACAAACTTGATTGGGCATATGAATCACCCAGGAACCTGCTAAAATTGTAGGGTCCCATTTGTATCTCCAACTCAATAAGGTAGGAATACAGAGAAATCTCAAGTGCCCCTAGAGACCTGGTCAGAACATGGCCAAACTGCAAAACCAGTCTCTCCATGGAACAAATAAGATGGACTAGTGCTAAGTTTAGTTTTGACCAGTGATTAAAAACACCAACCCTTAAGCAGTCTCTTTGAAATCAAAAGAAGGCATTCTGGAGTTTCACTGATACTCTCTACCCCTTTCCTGGGCTCACTCAGAAACTCTCTGCTTCAGTGAAATAAAAGCAGCCCAAGGCCTGCCTATAGGTGGTGAGCAGGATGGAGATGCAGGCTTTGTTGAAAATGAATGGTGCCAAGGAAGGACACATTGCAGTTGTCAGGTCAGTAGCCTTCTATGAAGGAGTGCACACATGGGGATGGGCATGCCACCGTGATGCGTTGGACATGTGCAATACTTACGGATTTTGCAAAGCTAAAGAAGCTCTTGGTCTCTCCAGTCACCATGTTGGATGAACCTGCAAATGGAGAGTCCCAAATCAAGCTTTAGCTAATGAAAATCAACATCTCCTGCTAGTGTGGAGGACCCTCAAATTGTTAAAAATAGAACTACCATATGACCCATTGATTATACTCCTAGGAATCTACTCAGAGGACACAAATAATTACTTCAAAAGGAAACCTGCACTCCTATGTTTATTGCAGCACTACTTACAACAGATAAACTATGGAAACAACCCAAATGCCCAAGGAAAATGACTAGATCAAGAAGATGTGGTATATGCACACTACAGAATCAAAATGATAAACTCATGGCATTTGCAGCAACATAGATGCTGCTGCAAGGGTTGTTCTCAGTGAAATAAGTCAGAAGGAAAAGAGACAATATTGAATGGTTTCACGTATAGAGGAATGCAGGGAAACTGAACAAGGAGTCAGAAAAAAAAAAAGACAAAACTAGCAGGCAAACTATAAGTCTGAGACATACAGCAGGGGAGGGGCAGGAAGAAGGGTCAAAACAGGGAAGTGAAGAGCACAAGAGACTATGGTAACAGTTCACAGATGATTTGGTGGTGGGGATTTTACAACGATTAACACCTGAGGGGAGAAATCAAACATAAAAATGAACAATGTTGAAAGAATAAATACATAAATATATTTTTTTAAAAACCCATCTCCTGCTAAACATAGAAGAATGGCAGTTGTCTTTGGTCTAGAAATATCAAGAGCTTGAAAACAAATTTAATTTAGTCTTGAAAAAATAAGGAAAATGAAGGGGATAAGCTGCATCATGTTGACTTAATTTTAGCTAAGTGTCACTGGCTCAAAGAGAATGCAACACTTTTCACAGTGACCATTTCATGACTTTGGAAAATTGGACCTGGAGCCAAAGTGTGATTTAGGCCAACATTCTAATATAATGATGAATTGTTGAAATGTTTTGTTGATTTTGTTCTTAGGAACTGAGAAATGAACTCCTATGTGAGTCTGCTTTATGGTTTCAATTTGATTCCTTGGCAAGTAAAACACTTAGGGCTCTGACAAGGACTGAACATTTAAGTGGTGGGGGATACATGGGGCCGAGTTAGAATTTAGATGGATGGACAAAGTAGGGTGCAGAAGGGCAAATGGGGGTGAAGACAACTTCAGAGACCTAGAAAATGGAGTGACCCATGTGTTATCTCCAAGGAGATCTTGGCAGAAAGGTAAAAACTATTTGAGAAAAATAATGTGAGAAACTGAACTTTGCTAATTGGAACAAGCAATAATCAGAGGAAAGATAGGAGGTATAGCTGGGAAATATTTCCCTAGATAAAAAGACCCCTTTAGGGGGTTCCCCAAGGTGGGGGCTAGATCTAATACCATATTGGTGCCTTTTCAATAACTTTCTTGTCTTGCCCCCAAATATTTAGGAGACAGTCCTTCTTAGACAACTTGTCATTTAATGAAAAAACTTTTTATGTCTTAAATTTAATTACATGGCCTGAGTAATCTAATAGCTACGTGGTTAACCTTCTGCTTTTTAGAGTGACTACCATGAAACATCATGAAAATAGGCTATGACTACTTAGTAATCAAGTAATCATTGTGGTAAATTAGATAGTTGTGATGTGATCAAGTTATATTTTGCCAAAATGACATCATAGAACTGGGGCAAAAATAGAACTGGTGAATGAGTGAAAATAAATGAATGGTCTGTCTGCACTTGACTCACATGTCCATCATACCCAGTATCCCTACATCATGCATTGATGCACATAGGTTCTCTCACTGATAGCAGTAATATAAAAATTATGCAACTACCTCCAAAGATTTTTCAAATATGTGGCCACTGTTGAAATGCTGGAACATCCAGCAAGGGAAAGTTTTATTTCCTCTCTTTCTATCATCATGATCTGATATAACAAAAAAAAATGTTTGAAACTTTCAGATATCCTTTTTAAAATTTGGTAGCTAATAACAGGGACAACTCAGTTATACATAGCAAAGACTCAATTTTCTATTGAACCAGCCAAGGATGGAGGTGCCAAAAATCTCAAATCTCAAATAACCTCAATATTAGTTGCAGGTCTATCAGAGAAGAGAAAGAAAAAGAGGGTATGGGGTCTCATCTTTTGGAAAAAACCTGTTCCCAAATGTCTTTCATAAATCCTCCAAAACCAAGAGCATATTAGTGGAGGCAGAAGCAGACACCTGCATTCTGTCTTGCTTGGAACATTAAGGAATAGTTTAGAAAAAGGAAAGCATGTACCTTGCTCTGTCATTTCCAATTGTGAAGAACCTCCCTAAAAAAAGCCCATATCCTAGCCACTCCTCTCCATCCAACTGTGGGTTCTTAATTCCTTCACCTTTTGAACCACCTTAAAGCCATTGATATTCCCCATCTGCATCACCTTCGGTGGGTCAAATCTCATCTCCTTGAGTACATTGGGTTGGTGTTGCTTTATCCCTTTTGGAATGACAAGTGCTCTTGGGGGACAATTAAGTTGTAGACATTTATGTTATTTTTATAATTAAGCAAAGACAATATAGCAAATTATAGAAAACATTAAATAATTAACTCCCCCCAATCTCATTGCCCCCAACATATCAACATTTTTCATATCTCAGAGGCTTTGTCCATATCTGACCACATCCCCCACATCTGTTTATACTCACCATACAAAATGTAGGTTCCCAGGGGTTTGAGAAGGCTGAGACCTTTCCCAGTGTTTTCCCCACAGAGGCAATCCAAAACGATGTCCACTCCTTCAGCAGAGATTCTAAATGGGGAGAAGACAAAGTAAAAGACAAAGTAAAAGACCTGTCAGGGACCACCTCTCCATCCTCTTTCCCTTCCTGTATCTTATTTTTACTCCCATTATCAACAATAATGAGGGCCTCCCCTGGTGGCTCAGTGGTTGAGTGCTGGGCTGCGAGGCTGCCCACAGCCTCTGCAGTGCTGGTTCGTTCCCCAGCTTCTGGCGAGGATCCCACAAAACAAAAACAAAAACAAAAACATAATAATGAGAGCTCTGGGAGTAGAAAGAAATGGGGCAGAAGTCGGGGAGGTGTATTGACCAACTTGGGTGCTGCTCTAAGTATTTCATAAAGCTGGAGGTGGCTGAGAATCCAACTGAGATTAATGCTGCCCAGCCTGGGCTGAGGAATGAGCACAGACATCAGAATCTGAATTTGTAGCTACCTGCCCCACTCAACTCCTCTCAGCCTTAACCTTTTTCCTTTATAAAGGGAAAATAGCTTCTTTGTGCTAAGAATGGAATGAGGTGACAAATGAAATGTTTGGCTCATTGTCAGCTACATAATAGTCACTCTGTAAGTCAACCAGTTAACAGTTCATTTGCCGGGAGCATGGGGTAATGTATCAGGTGCTGTCCGGGGTGCTGAAAAGAGTGGTGCATAAAGCCATGTTTTCAGTCATCACAGAACTTCAGGTGTAGAAGGGAATGGCTTTGCTCTCTCTTCACCTCCCTCCTCAGTGAAGTCATAATTCAAGTTAATTTTGCAAACTTCTATTCAACCAATTTTGAGGTTCAATCTGAAGTGGAGTCTTTGAGGAAAGGGGTCAAAAGCAATGAACAGTTCCTTTGTCTGCTTTTTCCAGTGTTGTAAATCTCTGCAGATTTCAAAAGCAAAGAAAATAGCACAGCTCAGAGATCCCCTGGGCCAAATTCAGCAGCAAGTTGGAATTGCTGATCCTTTCTTTGTCCCCAACCCCTGGCCTCTTTATTGTGAATGTTACCTCTTTGCTTCCTACCACAAGAGTCAATGAAGACTCTCTTGAGTGGTGGTAAGCCGGAGAGTGTCATTACCGGGAGCGAGACCCTTTGAATTCACCAAGAAATTAATTCCTCCTTATTGTAAATTTCATTTCCAGCTGGATGTCTGGCTCACATTTCTTCTTTTACTGAATTCCTTTATTCTGGGAGTGCACCTGTACTGTACCTTTAACCAGCACCTCTGAACTTGTGACAAGGAATGAAGCTATTGCAGAAGGCCCAGCAGAACCTGATGCATAGCAGGCTTTTCATAGAGGGCTGAGCACAGCACATCGGGTTTATCACAGTAATTGGTATAGAGTAGGCTTTTTACAGGGTGCTGAGCACAGTGCCTGGCACACAGTAGGATTCTCAGTAAAAACTTACTACTGATGGCTTCCACACAAACTTAGCAATACCACCTCTAAGAATTCTTCTTAATCTTTCTCCCTCTCTCCAAGTTATTACCCTCATTCATTTCCATTAATATTTTGCTAAGCACCTACTCTGTGCCATGCCTCGTGCTCAGCACCAAAGTTGCAGAAGAACAGGAAGGAGGTATGATCTCTACTTCTTTCTGAGCTTATACCCTCAGCCTGGCCTAGGACTGGGACCCACAGACCTAAGTCATGTGGCACACAGCAGATTCCCTACCACATGGACTTGACTCCTTCCTCTATGGACTTTGTGCAGCTTTGGTTTGGGTTCCTGTGTCATCTTTGTTTCTTCAGCTTCAGAGCCAGCTCCCAGCAGTCACTTGGGGTTCTCACTCACCCAAGCTCCATTCCCTGTTTCTCCTGGTCAGCTGACCAGCCCCTGGGGGAGCTGACTCTCATGTCCTGTATAAAGGAAACCAGTCAGCTTCCCAGGCCTGTTGTCAGGAAGCCAGTGTGTCCTCTCTTGGCACCACACAGTCATGGCATCACCACGTCATCTTCTCTGTGAAGACCTCCATGACTGCCTCTTCCTCAAGTGATTCACTCTCCTTGACTCTGGCGTCATTTCTCTACTTACCCTGGGCACAGAAGCCAAATCAATTCTTCACAGACCTGCCTTTCCTAATAGTGCTTGCCTGTCTCAACCCTGAAATGGATTCTATTGTTCTGACACAATCCAATTTAACTCTTATTTAAGGGCTTTCAAGAGCCTCATGTAAATCTTGCCCAGTAGTTCTTCACTAGGAGAGGTTTTTTCCCCCATCCCCACCCCAGGACACTTGGCATTGCCTGGAGACAGTTTATACTGTCATGACTTAAGGGGTGGTAGAGCTACTGATAACTACTGGGTAGACACCATGAATGCTGCTAACCTTCCTAGAACAGGATGCCTCCAACAACAGAATTATCCTGCCACAACATTCAGTGTGCTGGGGCTGAGAAGCCCTGATCTAGCCCTTTCCTGCCATCCTAGCACCTCACTCTACCCTGCAGGCTTTCATCTGTACACTCTGGCTCCATCACTCAGGGACCAAGCACTACCATTCTTTGTATTAGTGAGTGTGAACCACAGAAAGACAAAAACCCTAGAGCCAGAACCACCTGGGGCTGAGTCTAGCCACAGGGCTAGGTGGGTGACACTATTTACTCAGGCAGCACTTTCACTGTGTCCTCTGAATAACAAGGACAATAGCTTCTTCATAAAACAGGAGATGCCTGAAAATGGGCTCCCACATGTTGGATAAACCTCCATTTAGACACTGTTCCCTGAGTTCCTGCAGAGCCCTGCAGCTCCCTGCCAGGTGCTAACTCCAGCATCTGCAATTATTCCTTTACCTGTCTGTCTCCCCAGGTCACACTGTGCCTTTGTGGCTCATTTGTTGACTGGATGAATGAACAAACAAAAGAACACCAGGTCTTAAGTAATATTGTGCACCCTTTTCTCACAAAATGAGGTCTAAAAAATATTGTTTATTCAATTATTTTGAAAGGCAGGGTTTTTATCAGCTTTGCTGAGACACAAGGAACAATAAGCTGCACATATTTACAGTGTACAGCTTGATGAGTTCTGACACTTGTTCACACCTGTGAAACCATCCCTGCCATCAATCGGAAGAACAGGGTCCTCACCCACAAAAGTTCCCTGAAGTCTCTCTGAAAACCAGGTGGAGGTTTGCGACTAGAGAGTTCACAGAATCACAGGCCTTCGAGGTCAGATTGGTCCTAGGTCTTAGTTTTCTGGTCTGTAAAGTGAGAAACTCTGGCCTTGCCACGTGGTCTAGGGATACATTACATTGTCTCTGCTCCTCTGTCTTAAGGCCCTTAGAGTCAGATGCACCTGACTTAAGGCTTCTAATTATTCTCCTTGGCTTCAAAGTTAGTCATGTCCTCCCAAACAGAGGAGGGGCAAATGACATAAAGTTTAGGTCTGTATGAATAAATACTTTTTCCTTGTTCCCTTTGCAATGCCTGGTTCAAAACTAAGAGCATGTTGGGCCTCCTCTGGTGGTGCAGCGGTTGAGCCTCTGCAGCACCACCAGCAAGGGTCCCACATGGCACAACAAACCTCTCCTGCTGTGCCCACTGCTCCCCTCAGCAGTGTACTTCATCAGTCTGCCTGTTCTGCTCCCCGCTCTGGCTCTGGTGAATTCTCTCACCCTCCCGCGCTTCTGACTGTACCCAGTGCTTGTATAAATAAATAAACAAATCTTAAAAAAAAACAACAACAACAACTAAGAACATGTTCAAAAAAAATTGTATAGCTTGACAGGCTTATGAAAGAATTTTTATCTTAGGAAATTTTATGTTATTTTTCTAGTTAATCACACACAAAATAGTGTTATGAACAAAAAAATCCATGACCTAAATAAATAAAGAGAAATCACTGTATTCCACTCTATGACATGTTACGGGTTGGATCCCCCCCACCTTTTCTTTCAAGTCCTGGTGTGCCAAGAATTTATACAAAGCTGTGATCACAGTGTAGATAAAATCTGGAATTCTGCCTTTTTTTTTTTTTTAACACAACATGCCTCCACGGGTATTATTTTTTTCTTTTGCAACAGAGTCTTCACAATTATCATATTTTGAGACTGCAATGTGGGTCTAGCATGATCGACTGAACCATTTTCCTTCTGTTGATAATGAAGCCTGCTTCTCAATTTTCACTCCAGCAGACAATGCTATCATTCACCCTGTCGGGATCTGCTGAGCACCGACAATGAATCAGAAGCAGCATTTGGCTCTGCAGTGGGCCACGCATACCTGTTGCTTTTATCTTCGTTAGGATTGCTTCCCGAGGGTAGATTTAGTGGGACAGAGGGCACATTTATTTGCAGCTTCCCATTTATTTTTGTTCTAGTCCCAGGGTCTCTCGAAAAGTAATGCTGCAGACCAAGACTTCCAGAGGATAGGTGAGGTGAGAGCAAAGAGGGCAGGTGCTCAGTGGACTGTGGTGGAAGATTCTTGGGGTTTTAGTGGTGGGTGTGGTGCAGTAACATACATTTGAAGAGGTATGAACCTGTACCTCTAAAATGTACAGTACTGTAAACCAACATGACCTTATTGTAAATAATTTAATATAAAAATACAAAATAACAACAAATAATGAACTGTTGGAAGTTGCATTTGAAAGAAGGTGATAATGTGATGGGTCTCAGATGCCATTATCCTCTGCTCTTCTGACAGCAGTAGAAATCATTGATTGTGGGGGTAAAGGCAGCGCATCAAGGACAGGGAGAGGATGAAGGAATGGACCACCTGCATGAGGAACACAGAAGGCAGGAGCTCCCTGGTTATGGTGTTTTCCAGAAGAGCCCCACTTTGTGACCCTTGGCTCCCACTGCCTCCCACACCTCACTACCTCCATCTGCACTGGTTTCTTCAAGCTTTGCCTGACCCCCACCTTCAGCACACGCTATTTTCATAGACAGAAGTTGGGATGCCTGGTTTGAATTCAGGCTCCACTGCTACCACCTGTGCCAGGACCTCCTAGCACACAGATGATCCTTGCCAGTTTGCTTTCGGGTCGCCAAGAGCCTGAGTGATACCTCATGTATGAGTAGGAGATATTTGCGTGTTCCTTCTGGGACTTCACTGTGTGAAGACAGCATTAGAAGAGCTAGTTTAGCTTTCATATATTAGGTTTATAAGTTTCTTCTATTCCTCAGACTTATCCTCTTCAAAACAGGAATAGTAACAGGGTTGTTGAGAGGGTTAAATGAGCTACTACTTGTGAAGTATTCTGCGCACAGCTAGTAATATCAATACCCAATATATGTTGTTATTGTTGTTATTATTATTATTAGCCCCCCTCTCTATGAATGTCCTTGAAGAGAGATGAGCAAGGACCTACTTGGTGTCTGGAGAGCAAAGACCTTACCTTTTCACTTCTTGCACATAGTCTGCATTTCGATCAAAGAGGTGGGTCACAGAGTCTTTGATTGCTTCATGTTTGAAAGTAGAAGCTGTCCCAAAGACAGTCACATTGGGGATGGTAGAACACAGCTGAGCCACAGCTTGGCCCTGGAAGTGAAACACAAGAGACAAGTCATACGTGAGAGCTGCCATCCAACTAGCTGTTGTGTTGGGCGTGGGGTGGGATTTCCCAACTCTGCCATGGTGGCTCTTTCTATGGATGGATCCGTCTTTGGTGTGGGGGCTAAATTGTGCATTGAAAGACATGTAGCAGCCTCTCTGGCATCTAAGTACCAGGTGCCAGCAGCAGCACCCAGTTGTAACAACCAAAGATGTCACCTGACATATATAAATGTCCTCTGGGGCACAAAATGTTCCTTGGTTGAGAACCACTGGTGAAGAGGAAGGTGAAAAGGAGTCAGCAAATTCCCTAGACTTAACAGCTATTATTTAATCACCCTGAGCCTCAGGCTTCTGATCTAGAAATTAGAAATAATGATAGCTACTCCAGCGGATTCTTGGGGGAGGTATCTTTGTTTGGATCCCCAGAAGCAAACTCTGAGGCAAGGATTCAATTTAAGGGCTCTCTCTGGAACACGACCTTAGGAAATACCAAGGCATGAAGACAGAAAAGGAAGGTAGCTAATAAAGGCTGTGCAATTAAGTCCATAGCCTCCAGAGACAAATATAGCTCAATCCTTTTGAAAAACGCCCATCAACAAACACAGAAACACCCCAGAGTTATCCCAGTGAGGGTGTAGGAACCTGGAGTAGGTATCTACCAAATGGTCATCTAATATTATTGGTTGAGGGCTGCTTCGGCAATAATAACTCTTATAGATGTCTGGCTTGTCTTCACAGACCAGTCACGTCCCATGGGCAGAGAGATGCCCTTAGTCGTTAACAGGTTGAACTGAGTGCAAAGCAGACCTGACAGGGATGACAGCATCCACTCTGGGGGGTGTTAAATGAGACAGTAGGCATTCCAGGTCAGGCATCTGGCATAAAACACACTTCTAGATCCTTGATAAACCTTAATCACCTGTACCCCTCAGTGGCTTGTTGTTTCCAGGGTTGAAATATTCAGGCATATAAAGAAAAGACCAACACATGAGGTTTAAATATTAAGTGGTCTCAAAGAAGTCACAAATTACCACTGGGGAATGAGTTGTTGTTACATATCCTTTAACAATATGGCTGAAATTTAAGTCATTGAACAAAATTCTGTGATCATGTGCATTCAGAAACCTGCCTGGGAAACCAGTTCACTGATAATTAAGATGCATGCTCAAACCAGGTACTTGTCTCTTTCCAGTGTTCCATCTGCCATCTTAAGGAGGCAGAAACTATCAAGGAGGGAAATCATTAGGACAAAACCATTAATGACAAATTTCTACCTCTTGTTTTATTTACATGTCTTCAACTGATGAACCAAATCAGGCTGGCAGTTCAGTCTGTAAAAATGTTCTTTTTCCTAATATTGGCAATTAAAGACAGTGTGAAAGGACTCATAGAATGTCAGAGTTGAACGATCATACATTGACCCCACCCCCGTCATTGTTTTATAGACAAACAAGAGAAAGGGCATGCCAAAAGGGTACACCAACCCAACTCTTCAGAGGCAAATAGGAGGTTCAAAGCAAGGTCTCCTGATTTCCATTTACTGCCACTTTCTAGTGACATGCTGTCTACTTATTTTGACATCTTAAGCTAAGCAGACTTTCAAGTTACAACCTAAAATAGCATGCCACTGACACGCTCATTTGGAGGTCAGCATTTCAGAATGCGAGTTTGAACCTCAGACTCCAGACAGGCTACAGTTCTCTGTTCTAAGAATAGCTTTGGCATTTATTTTTCTTCTTGTTGTCCCCTGATTTTAAAGAACAAAAAGGGGACTATTCTTTCCAGTGAGTGTAAATATCAGCAACCAACACAGTAATTCTCTAAAATTCTCTGGCCTCAGCTATACCACCATGACAGCATATTGGGGCTGGACATACATATTGGGGTTGAAGCTAACTTGGTGAACACTGGGATGGAAAGTTCCTTGAAGCTCCAACATCCAGATGTTCCTTCCTGCCCTCTGTCCTTAATTAAACAGCATCTGGGAGGCCGATGCACTCTCCATTGTACGCCAGAGCCCCCACCCTAGAAAACATGACATTTATCAACTCAATTTATCTTTCAAATTCCTATTGTGTGATGTGGATGCTGGCGTATCAGACGTGATGAACACAGCTGAATCTCTGCCTTTAGTCCCGAGTCCCACCCAGAAACGCGGTCTTGGATACTGAGCTACCATTTTGGCATCTCTCTCCACCTTGCTATTGAAAAACAGCACATTTGTTTTTGCTCCAAATGTGTTGTTTTTCAATAGCAAGATGGAGAGGAGGGAAGAGCACAAGAGATTATGGTGACAATTCATGGGTGTCTTGGTGGTGGAAAATTTTACGGGGATTGCACCTGAGAGGAGAAATCAAACATTGTACAAAAATATATAACTATGAATTTTTAAAAAAAGAAAGAAAAACAATACATTTGGGCCTCCCTGGTGGCCTAGGGGTTGTCTCGGGACTATCACCGCTATGGCCTGAGTTCAATGCCCATCCAGGGAGCTGACCCACATATGGTGCAGCAGATCTCTCCTGTCTCGCCCAGCTGCTCCCCTTAGCAGTGTATTTCAGAAAATCTACCTGTTCTGCTCCCCACTCTGTCTTTGTTGAATCCTCTCACCCCCTGCACCTCTGGGCTACACCCCAGGTCTTCCCTGCAAAAAAAAAAAAAAGTTCAGTGTAACTGATCAAATACATTACTGATGGCTCTCTCGAAATGAATGATGCCTCTGGATTAGTTTGTGAGGGCTGCTGTAACCGCATCACAAACTAGGTGACTTAAACAATAGACACTGACAGTCTCACATTTCTGAAGGCTGCAAGTCTGACATCAAGGTATTGGCAAAGGGGGTTTCTTCTAAAAACCGTGAAGGAAGGGTCTGGTCTAGGCCTCTCTCTTCTCTTGTAAATGTCCCTCTTTTCCCTGTGTCTCTGTCTCTTCACAGGGTCTTCCCTCTAAGCCAGTCAGTGTCCACTTTCCTTTTCTTAGAAGGACACTGGTCATATTAGATGAGGGCCACCCCTAATGACCTCATTTTACTTGATGTTCTCTGTAAAGACCCTGCCTCCAAATAAGGGTACGGGGTGGGGATAGGACTTGGGAGTGGGGTCACAATTCAGCCTTGAACACTCATCTTACTGCATTCCCTGCCTCCATGGATAGAATCACACCCTTCACTCGCTGCTAAAATCAGAGCTCTCAGGACCAGCCGGAGCTCCTATCCGCCCTCTTCCCCACATCCACTAGTCTGCATGTGTTGTTTTCACTTGACTTCTCTGGTGACTGTCACTTCTTAGTCCGGGTGTCACATTTCCTCTGACGACATCCTCCTAATGGACCTGTGTACTTCACACCAGGGTCAGAATGATTTCCTCAAACACACACTGACTCTGCCCTCTTTGTCTCAGCGCTTCCCAGAGCCGATCAACTTTCGGATGAAATGCACACCCTTCATCACAGGGCCCGGCCCTCTGGAATCTGACTCAGCCGACTTCGTTATCATGATTTCCAATGTCCACCCTCTCACCAAACATGGACCACTGAGACACAATGCCAGGAGCCTGGCGTTCTGTGGTCCTCATTCCATGACATCCTCCAAAGAAACTCTTTAACCTTCTTTACTGAGGAAGAAGCTGAAGATGACAGAGCCTAGGCCGCTGATCCAAGGCCAAGAACCTTGATCTGGGGGTGTCAGCAACTGAGCTACCCTGATAAGCTATCATCAGTTTCTCTGATCACCCATCTCGGCATGGGGCTGGAATGCTGTAGCACTCTAGATTGTTGTGTGCTTATGGGAGCTGAGGCACCACACGTTTAGAATAGCGAGCCTCAGTGACTACTTGTTATCACTGCTACTATGATGGTTAGGACGTCAGCGTATGGTTTGAGTCAGTAGTAGAGCAGATCTGCCATCCCATCTTCACTACCTATATGTATATGCTACCAGCATCAAAGCCACTTTGCTCACAGCCTTTTGCCACCGAGCCTGGGCTTGTAATTTCTTTTTCAGACCACACACACTCCCCTTAGGTGCCTCCTCTTCCAGAAAGCCTTCCCAGCATCCCAGGTGGGTCACTCACCTCTCTTTCTGGCTCCTTCCTCCAGGACAGTGGCCCCCTCATCTGTCTGTGGCTGCTAACTGGCCCATCTGTGAGCCCCATGAGGTCAGGGTCCCAGCCATACTTGGCTCTGTACCCCAGTACCCCAGGCAGCTCCTGGCACATGACAGAGGTTTGGTAGAACTTGTTGGATGGATCCATGAGGAACTAATGGGGGCAGGGATGTAATGGGGAAGCCCCTCATCACTTTTTAAAATTAATTATTTTTCTTACATCATTGCAGTCCCCAAATTTCTCCTGCCACAGTATCACCCATGAACCATCACCATATTCCCTTGTGTTCATCCCTTCCCTGGTTTGTTCCTCCTACCTCCCTTCCTTTGCTGTGTGCCTCAGTTCTGTGGTCAGCTTGCCAGTTTTGACTTTTTCTTGACATTTTGTTTGATTCTTCTATATTCCACATATAAGTGGGACCATCCAGTATTTATCTTTTTCCTGTTCACTAATTTTGGCTAGCATAATCCCTTCCAGCTCCATCCAGCTGCCTTAAATGACATGAGTTTGTCTTTTTTCAGTAATATTCCATTGTATAAATATATCACACTTTTTGATCCATTCATCTGTTTGGGGGTATTTGGGATGTTGCTATATCTTGACTATTGTAAATAGTACTGCAATAAATGTAAGACTGCAGGTTTCCTTTCAAATTATTAATATTTTTGAGTCCTTTGAGTGGATTCCTTAGGAGTGGAATTCCTGGGTCATGTGGTAGCTCCATTTTCAGTGTTCTGAGGAACCTCCACACAGCTTTCCATAGTGGCTGGACCCGTTTGCATTCCCACCAGCAGTGCAAGAGTGTTCTTTTATCCACACCTCGCCAGCATTTGTTTCTGACTTTTTTTTTTAGTGTGGAAGCCCCTCAACATTTGCAGACTT